GAAATATATTTATGTTTGTGGTTGTAATGTGACAAAATATGGAAAAGTTCAAGGGGTATGAATACTTTTGCAAACCACTGTAAATTACAAGTTGAAAGGGGCATGGACATTTCTCTTTTTTGTATCGAAAAAATATCGAACCGTGAGACTAAAGTATCGAATCGAATCGTGAATTTTCTGTATCGTTGCACCCCTAGTACATAACTGACAAAATAGTTCTTCTTTATAATAACATTTTTGTTTTGTTGATTAAATCAATTGAACATTTATTTATTAATTTATTATTTACCAACCTTTATTTAACCAGGCAAATCCCATTGAGATCACAGATCTCTTTTGAAGGGAGGCCTGGGTCTAAAGGCAATCTATTGTACATGTTTTGGCTTCTGTGTTTGCTTGAATTAACGCTTTGAAAATGAATATCTTCACACTTCTTAGATTTGTTTCAATGAATTCCAATCTTTATCTCATTTGCTTTTTTCTGCAAGGGTTTCCATAGTGCATTCACTTTATCCTCTCTGTTGTAAAATGCTTAGAATGAAGTAAAAGTACACAGAGTTAAAAAGAATATGCACAGTTAAAGATTTTGTTCTGCTTCTCATCATCATGTGACAATGTTTCCCAGCGTAAAACAACACATTAGAAGTTCTAATTCATCTACATAAATTCACAAGGTTTTAGAGGTGTGGATAAATATTGTTTTTTGGTACTGTGGTACGTTTTCACGACTCAAACTAACATTAAATCCACCTACAGCTAGGTTACTCTGAAAAATTACTTATTTATATCATCTGAATAGCAGTGAAAACTCTGTAGATTTAGTTATTATACCTTATGATTCTGATAAGAAGTTACAGAAATAAAAGCCGTCTCATGAAAAACGCGAGTGCAGTAGGCAGTGTTCTTCGATCCAAAGGCGTTGTTTTCATCAGCTTTCACTATGTGAAGTCTGGGCTGGTACTTGTGCATGGAGTTCAGAATGATCTGAAAAAACAGAAGAGAAGACAACTTCTTCAGTCAAATTCTGTCATATGTAGTACATATTTTCATTTATCCTAYTTTATTATTTATTATTTTTGCCATCTGTTTTTAAATCAGCAGTATACAAACAAAATCATACACAGTCAGGAGCAGCCAAGGCCTCCTRAGCCCCAAAGAGACAGTTTTATCTACTGTCTGTTTCATTTTTGGTTATCTTCTTTATTTTCTGTTATGAGTTTAGTTCTGCTCCTTTCTGTGTTCCTCAGTTCCAGTATCACTTAAGATTATGTTTATTTTGTTCTTATTTGCCATAAKGCCAGCCTTTTGTTTTGAAACAATTAATAATTTTATTTTTTTAATTATTCATGTTAAGTTTGTACTGCGCCCGCAAGGGGACATGGGGTATTTTTTTTCTTTTGCGTTCCCCCGCAATACTTTTGCATTACCTCGCAATACTTTTGCGTTACCTCGCAATACTTTTGCGTTACCTCGCAAAATTGTTTTGCGTTCCCACGCAAAAGTTTGATTTGTATATGAACTGAATTAAATCAGACTTTTATTTTGTAATATCCGGTTACCAAAACAGGATGTGTCACCACAAGTTTGTGAAATTGACATTGATGTTGTGTGGCTGTACTGTGTTCAAATATCGCGTATGACATACTTCCATTCGTGGCTGTGTGATATATTCATTCTGAAGCTGAATTAAAGCAGTTGGCTAACTCGCTAATGGTGAACATGTGAGTTTGTTAATAAACCACCAGGCACAACAGTGTTTAACGACTTTTGCGAGGGAACGCGAAAAGGTATTGCGAGGTAACGCAATACTTTTGCATGGGAACGCAAAAAGAAAATAAAAACCCAAGTCCCCTCGCGGGCTCAGTAAGTTTGTTGAAACAGAGGCTCCGATTGATCGTCACTTCTCAAATTCAGACTTGGTGTCACCCTCCCTGGTGGAAACATTAAGCAGGAATAGCTGAGATATTTGAAGAGGCCAACAGGGAACAGTCAGTCTCTTCCTTCAGAGGATCTAGCTGTAGAACCTCCAGAAGTTCAGCCACTCTCCAGATTGGATCCACCCTCCAGGGATAAGCTCTTATGGGCTGAGCCATACAAAGCCATACAAAGCCATACCAAATTCACTGCTGACCAATGAGTGGCTTCTGTGGAAGCACCACACTTTCCACACCCAAGCTCATCCACACCAGCCATCTCTGGAGGACACCTCCATTATTTGTCTCAGGGGTTTCCAAATGAACACCTCCCAGTATTTTTTCTTTAGAGGGTCCAGATGGATGCCTTTCATTTCTTCATTTCTGGAGGGATTTGGATGGACGCCCCGCAGTCTCCTATCACTGAGGTCCTTCATGCTCTTGTCACAAAGGTCCCCCACACACAAACCTCCAGGGGTCTCACATCACCACCAGTCATCAAGGGTTCCCAGTGTCTGCTCCTTGAAAGGTCCCAGTTCTCAACCATACTGGTGAATGCAGAGTGAAGTCCCTCAGGGGCTGGTGAGGGAAGACCATTTAAAATGGGACACTCTGGGAGCTGCTGAGCACTGCACACGCAGACTAAGCAGTGTACAGTTGTGCACGTCACTTCAGATCTCTAAAGGCATCACAGATCTGTTGTTGCTTAATTACTGATTGAACATTTGAGCAACTGATGAAATACCACGTCCTGTAATGCTTTCTTGCTCTTAATGTTTGCACGCCTTTTTTTTTGTTTCCGCACTTGGAGGAGTCAGATGCTTTTTCCTTCTCTCCTGCCCTTCCTTATCTTCCCTGCTTTGCTGCTTGGAGCCTTCTCTACATGTTTCCATCCGAAACTAGAAATCATGGATATTTTTATTTTTATGGATTTGGTTAGCTGGTGTCTCAGTAAAAATTTTGGAACAAGGTTTTTTTCTTCTTCCATGGGAGGACATGTAATAGGTGGGACCTCTATTCTTCTCTGTTCTGGATATACAGTATATCTGGATTCTGATCATTGGATTCTACAGATTGGCTGGGTGGTCTCCTGGTGTTCTACAAAAAAAACAAAACATCGGTGGCTTTTCATTTTCTGGCTGACTGACCAATTTGATGGATGGCCGTATTCTATCAGAACTCGGACATTTTGCCTTGAGCGAGCTGGACACGGTCTGCAAGCGGTTCTGTTGAGGGTTGCGGGCCAGCTGTAGTCCCTGGACTTTGCTGGCCAGATGAAATTGATCTTGAAGAAAGCTGATATATCGGCTCGGCAGAATTGTCCACTTTATTTGTCTGATTGCATTCGCCACCTTGAGATGCACCAGCAGAACTCTAAAGCAGAAAGAAATTTGTTATTGTCTGCCTGTCTCTTTCTGTTCCCAAAACAACTGATTACAGATTCTGGATCTCCCATGCAACGGCCTTGATCTGTTGACTAAATTCTTCCTGAATTGATTTTGTCGACGAGGCTCTGCCCCCTACCTCCCCACTCCTCTCTCACCCGTCTAATCTGATTCCTGAGAAGGCTGAAGGCCACACAGAATGAACAGTTTCCATCAATTTTCTGAACTTTGGCTGCGCCGGTTCTGGGGACTGGATTCTTTGGGCCCCCCTAAACTCACTCCTCTGGCCAATAAATCTGCTCTACGCAGAGGTTTTTTCATAAACACCATAGTGTGTCACAATGTTGATATAATATGACGTTTTTGCTTTTTTTCCTCATCTTCCATTGTGTGTTTTTTTTTTTAGTTTTTCTGTTTTGTTGTTACGGTAGCGCAACTGTGTTTTACTGCATGACCGGTCTTAACTGCCCCCTCCCCCACTTCCCTGAATGTACAGCACCTTATGAATTTATTTCTGTGAAAGGCGCTATATAAATAAAACTTTACTTACTTACTTACTTACTTACTTACTTACTTACTTACTTACTTACTTACTTACTTNTACTTACTTACTTACTTACTTACTTACTTACTTACTTACTTACTTACTTACTTACTTACTTACTTACTTACTTACTTACTTACTTACTTACTTAATGTCTCTTACCAGCAGAGACAAGCCTCATGCGGGCTCTTGGTTCTGGTACTAAGGGTACAAGGTACACCTGTCATATGGTAACACAGGTGTCACAGGGTGAGTGCTCATGGAGGAAACTTCACAGGGACCGGAAAGATAAATGTTGTGTATTGTGTTTGAGCTGCTACTGGAGCTGGAGAATGGTCTTATTTTTCTTATTAATCATAAATATTTGATTCCAAGATCATCACAGCATAGTTATGCCCCTTTTCCACTAGTGCCACTTAGAGTAGTGTCTTTATGGTTGATGTCGGAACTGGTCAGTTTGGGTGCTTTTCCATTGACGTTCCAGTCCGGTTCCAGTGGGTGTGTTTTGGGCGGATTGGTGGAGGTGGTTTTTGGTTTTTTTTTTTAAAGTTAATGTGCAAAATGAGAGATAGCAACCCATTCTCACTCCCAAGTCGTCGCATATCGACGCTTTTCCAAGGTTCCCTCTGTGTCCGATTTTGACGTGTCGGGTACCCCCCTAGCGTCAGTTATTGACGAGATGGGGCGGAATCCGTTGTCGCAATTTCAAAAAGTGTTGAAAATGCACCAAAACTACTGTACCAAAGCCTAAAATGACCTTTATTCACTCTAGACATCCTATCCCTGACCCCACTACCTAAAATTAACCATCAACCCTGATCCCTAATATTAACCACGGACCCCAAGTCAAAGACCCCTATATTTTGCATCCCAACACGTCAAACCAGGATGCCGAGGGAACACGGAAATGCCTGGTGCGTCAAAAACCGACGCAACGGGTGTACCCGACGCATCAAAATAAGATGCAGAGGGAACCTTGGAAAAGCGTCAATATGTGATAAGTCAGGAGTGGGAATATGTTAGGGATAAAAACACATTTGCCAAATAAGTTATGAAATTTTAAAAATTCACTAAAAAATTTAATTAAAGTTGGATGGAAACACGACTAATATTGCTGCTACAATTGAAAAAAATGGTGCCTCGAGTTGTTGTTGTAAAGGCAGCTCAGACACAACCAGTGACTCCACCCCCTAGCCAATCAGTGATGAACAGTGTTCTGACGTCGCATTTTGGTGCCGACTGGGACCGCATTATCTACACTCTATAAACATTATCTACACTCTTTGTTATGCAACCTACTGATGAAAGGGAACTAAATATAATCAAAGAATTGAAGAGTTCTTATACAGCTGGAGCTGATGGAATTTGCAGTAAAATATTGATTGCTATTTCAAATTCAATTCTAAAACCTCTTGTCCATTGCATCAACCTGTCATTATTTCATGGTTTGGTGCCAAAAATGGCTAAAATAACAAAAATCATTCCTATTTATAAATCTGGGGGGAAATGATATTACAAATTATCGGCCAATTTCTGTTCTTCCAACTTTATCTAAGATTTTTGAAAAAATTGTGCATAGCAGATTATCTGAACACCTTGAAAAAGAACAAATTCTTTATAATTCTCAGTATGGTTTCAGAAAAGAAAGTTCTACCTGTATGGCTATCCTGGATCTTATCAGAAAAATAAATGAGGCAGTTGAATGAGGAGATTATAGTATTGGCATTTCCTTAGATCTTTCTAAGGCTTTTGACACAGTTGATCCTAATATATTACAGGGTAAACTGCACCATTATGGGATTAGAGGTATTGCATATAACTGGTTTGAAAGTTATCTATCGGATAGACAACAATATGTTTCTATTAATCAACATGAATCTCAGATTCGGGACATCAAATATGATCATATGTAAAAGCTTTCATTAGCTTTTCGGAGACCTGATTCACACACTGTGGATTATGTACTATGTGAATTTTACATTATGTAATTTGTGAATGTGTGTGAATAAACTGAATAAAAAAAGATATTATCATCCACGAAATGAATGTTATTAGGTGTTATGTGTCCCATAGAATGACTTCAGATTATCAGCTGGTTAATATGAGGCATAAAACCACTATCTGGTTAATATGAGGCATAAA